ACATAAAAATTATTGTAATTGCTTACGATCTATAAGTATCATATCTATTAAGAAATCATTTGATATGTGCGAAAATAAAGATTAGTGATTTGTCAAAATCCAGTTTTGTTTATCTTCATCAGTACGCAATGACGGATAACGAAAGCTGTTAAAAGATCCAGTGTTTTATTCTACGCATTAAATTATGACATATATATATATATATATATATATGTATCCACTCTGTTACTAGGCTCCGTGAGCTCTGTATTTTTATTCTTATACGTTGGTGAATTGTACATTTTGTGTTCCAGAAATAACTGAAATATGTTCTTCTTATGTTTTGGTTGAGATTTTTATGCCTTTACTTAATTTGCATTAACTTTTGTAGAATTACCAACAATTTAAAAGTTATTTAAGTGCAGCTAAGCCTAATTTTGTTTAACATAGCAGCCATATTTGTTTACATTTGAAACTAAGCAGAATAGTGAATTAAATCAGTTTCTGTACCTTCAGGACCTTTTTGCCGAGTGGGACCAAAAGTAAGCTTTCAGTTTTTTGCATCAAAAGATCTGCCTTCTTGCCCGTTGGCTGAATTCCTTGTTTATGCGCAGAAATTCTAGTTTTAATTGTAAAAATTGTTTTTTTTTAATTGGTTTAACTTATAATTTTGCGAGGCCCCAACTTGTCAGCAACAGTGGACTGCTCTGAACTGTAAATTACCCAAACTCGTAAGAAGGGTTTAAATTTACACTAAAATAAACTACTCTCAAAACTACGCCGACCCGGCGGTTAACAAAAGAAAACTACAACTAAAAATAAGACAGAAAACGAATCACTACCTACGAGCTCTATAATCGTAACTAAAACCGCATTCTAAGATAAGAGATTCAGCAACTTACTGTTTAAGAAGTTGAAAATTCAACGAACGCCGAAATGGCACGCAGGCCGAAACGCGCGATTCTTAAATTTCTACCTAGCAACCTTCACGCTCGCGATTCGATTCAGAAGCACACTTACAATCTCTTACTTAAACTCAATTACTTCTGCTAAATTTGAATACTCTGCGCGTTCTACTACGATTTACATACTCTGGCATTGGCAATTCTAGGGGAAAGTAAAGGCTTGACAGGAAAGATAGCTTAAAATAAATGTTAGTTAAAATAAATATAAACCCTACAAACTTCATTCGGTGTTTTATATTTTTCTATAGTTTTCTATTTTAAATAAAGGTATTTTGAGGTTTTATGCATTTTTACCTTGTCGCGAAGGAGAATTGAATTAATTGAATGAGAAATATATCTCTAATAAAGTTCGAAGAAATAAGTTTAAATTAAATGCAAGAAAAAATTGCGTCTAATTTAATATTCCGTACAAGGAAGTCATGTGGTGTACACATCAAATTTTTTGTGCTTTGCGTTGTCACTAGAGCGCCAGGAGAAACGTTTTGACTATGCATTGCTGTGGGATTTTCCATCGTCTAGGTGTGCTCTATCTCTTCTGAAAGTTTGTAACTAATTTGCTCAAACCCCCTAACTTAAAATAAATGTTAGTTAAAATATATATATATATGTATGTATGTATTCACCATCTATAAAATAACTCATGGGCTGGAATATATATGTATTTCGACCATGAACTGTTCGATCAGATCGTGGATTCGGGGCGCATACAATTTGAATTTGAGACCACTGATTTAAGTTATTCGAAATGACACGCCTATTGACGCCTAAATGACACGCAAAAGAAAAATCCAAGCTGTGGCAGTCACCAAAACAGATATTCTCTGAATGCGTCCAGAAATGTCAGGAGCGCTAATACAGATGTGTATTTTCTGATGAATGGTATATCAGGTGTGACTAAGCAAAAATTATTTATATTTTAAACAGATCTGCACTGTGAGTATTTTCCGCGAATATAGGGATATTTCGTTAACCAGATAAAATTTCTGTCAGACACTTAATATAGAACTAGTCTACAAATTTTACATTATTAAGCATAGAGATATTTCTTTTTGAAAGCAAAATAAGTTTCAATCTTAGAACATCTAAAAAGATTCAACGTTTGAGAATTCAATATTTGAGAATTACAGATGTATTTCTTTCATTTGATTTCATGGTTATGTTATTCTTAATTTTTTTCCCTTGAAGCGTTCTGAATTTAATTACGAGAGATTCTGAATTTAATTATGATTCTCAGATTATTGATAAAAACTTTCCTGCTCGGATCGTTGATTAAAAAGTTTTTGAAATATGAAATCTAATAAATTTGGGCCGGAACTGACACAAATTTTATTTGTGTTATTATTTCAGTCTTACGCAAGTATTAGTAAGTATCAGTAAGTATATGGGAGTATAATAAAATTTTTTGTTTCGCTCTTATCTTGTTAAAAGATAAATATAAGATTAAAAAATTCTCCAGGAAGATAGAATCGTTACTCAAAATATATGCCACTTTAAGTTTTTTTTTTTTTTTTTTTTTGCCTAGTTTTAAATGGATTTGTCAAAGTATTACATTATTATAGGTAGGAAAGAAAATGTAATTCGGATGGTTGGTCTAACCGAAATATAGAATTCCGCAAAATGTAGTCACTGTTACCGGTAAAACTGCTGCCATTTTACAAGAATAAAATCATAATATACTCAACCTCTCTTAAATAAAAAGATTGTCAGAACCTTAAATTTTAAGCGGAATATAATTCCAAATTAAATATAAATCGAAACACTGACGTCTAAATTTGTTTGGATTTTATTTTGTATCAATTCTTAGGAGAGGCGAAAAATTCCAGAATAATAATTAAAGTTTATTATTTTTTTTATATTCATTCTAAGCATTTTTAGTGATAGCATTTGGGGAGGTTCAGCTTTCGCATAGATGCACATATTATTATTATTATTATGATTATTTACGTGTTCCGCCCTAAGGCACTACACGGAAAGGAGGGCTTATAGATGCATATATGACATGATTTTAAACTACAAAAGTGAATATTTGACAGCTGCTCCTATCTGTATTTGCTTTTTGTTGAAATATTTTCAAATATTTCAAATTTTAGATCTAATAAAACAGTCTAAAATATGAAATGAAATTATTTAGGAAAAGTAAAATATAATTAGGCTCATTAAACGCTTGTTAGATGAAGCGAAAATATATTATTAACTGTATTTAAAAATACAAAGTGAATCAGAAATTTGAATGTCAATTAAAGTTACTTTTTGAACTATATAATCTTCCTAGATTACAATTTATTCAGGTCTGCATTAAAATCTCGTTTCTTTATACGCTTTGTTGCAAAAAAATATATGCTCTCACAAAACTCGGCAGCAATATAGTGTTTTAGTAGATAAACGAATAATTAAATACTGGGACGAGAAAAGCATTTTATTTATGAATAGCAATACAATGAAGGCGAAAGTGACATTTGGCAGCTATACAAGCTGATACTCGGTTGGGCATGGAGTCTATTAAATTGCCAACGTCCCTTTGCGGTTAATTGTGCCACAAATGGTCAGCGAGTTGGGGCGTATTTGCATGCGGCTGAATTTGCCTTCCCAAAAAGTTCTAAACATGCTCAATCGGTAACAGCTCTGGAGATCTAGTAGGCCATTCGAGAACATTAACACACCGAGGACATTGTTGGGAAATTCGTGCCATATGTAGCCGAGCATTATCCTGCTGGAAAAATAGAACCTGAATGACCTGCCAGCACAGGCGGTGCAATCGGCTGCAGAATGCCATCAACGTACCTGCGAGCAATCAGAGTATCTCACAGCGAGACGAACGGTGAACGGCTGCCTAAGCTTATCGTTCCCCAGGCAGCCAAACCCTGCGTTCTGGCTGTGGGGTGCCGCTCGGTAACAAATAGTACACTGGACCGTTCACCTCTCCGTCTCCAGACACGTATGCGGTGTCATCACCATTGAGAGAGAAGCGTGATTCGTAACTGAAGATCACATTTCTTCAATTGAACACAGTCCAGCTTGAGCGAGAGCGGCAGCAAGACGACACTGCTTATGGTGGAGTATCAATGGCAAGCGTCTTAATGGACGTCAAGATCTGAGACTAGCGCCACCTAGTCATCTGCACAGCGCCATCTAGTCTAGTATCCCTGGATATCCCAGGATCCCTTAAGTTGGAAAATGACGTTGAATTCGATGGTAGCGTAACTATTGGTGCGTATATAGCAGCTTTTCTAATTGCGCGATTATCTCCCGCACTGGTAGCCGGAGACGTTCCGAATACGATATCTGACTGTGCCTTTCGTTCAGTTACTGGTTGCAACAACGGACAATGACCATATCGGTTCGATCAAAATGCTGTCGATCCGCCTGTTCGACCAACCGAACTCTTTTAGCACTAAGATGAAACCGCATTTCCAAGTCTGACAATGAAAGCGTAAGGCCGTTTTAAAAGCATCTTTCATTACAATGTCGTGTACTGAAGTCGTCAGCGCAGTTGTAAATGCTCTTCACTCGCCGCACCTGCCCTTTTACATTTTACTAGCTGCGCATTTCAGACGTGCGTTGCATCGCTCTACAATGCTTGATTGGTTCTGCAAATTGAATCATTTACACAACTCACCAATCAACATTTACATGCCGCGTTTCGTAGTAGTGGCTCAAATTTTTTTGGGTGCATATGTTTGTTTCTGTAATAAACTGTTTTTAACATTTGCTTACATTTATAACTTCGTTTTAAAATTATCTTAGTGTGGAAATTATGAGCGCATACAAAGCATTGCTGAAAAAGACATCAGATCTTAAAATGAGATGGCAGTGGCAAACAAATCAAATTCTGCCCAGCTTGATTCTGTATAGCAAAATAGACGGAATAACATTCTCCACCATCATGTCTTTTAAGCCTGAAAAAAATTCGTAATTTTGGCACACTTATTGTAGATTAACTGATCGACACTAATGAATTTAAAGCTAATAAGTGTGTCAAATTAAAATATAGTTTATTTTACAGTATTCAAATAAAATTTGCCATTTTCAATTGAAAGTCATTGAATAAAATCATACCTTTTTCCCACATTATCTCATCAATGGGATATCCGGCAACTCTGCACTGGACAGAAGCGCTCTCTCCGGCCACAACGGATAAATCCGGCATCGGGCGTATCATAGGTGGTCCATAAACATTAAGCCGTCCAGCATGTCGAATTTCTCCTACATCGTTTTTGGCTACACAGCTATAAAGGCCACCATCTTCTATGCGGACAATAGATATGTTGACATGGCTAATTACGTCGCCATTACGACTGACATAATCTCCAACTCGCACCCTGTCGTTATCTGGTACAGGATATCCATCTAAGGACCACGTGACCTGAGGTAAGGGTGTTCCTGAAGCTGCACACTGGAAAGAAACAGCTGGTCCAGGTCGCAGGGTTCTCTCTGAGAAAGTTTCATGAAATGATGGAGCTGTTTCTGTAAAACAAAAGTATAGAGTACAATAAGAAAATCTGTGCAATGTGAATTTAAGTTGAATTTATTAAATAAACATCAAGTTGAAACTGAATTTAGCTGGATTTAAATTTCAAATTATCATGCTTCTTTTATACAAGAAAAGGAGTACGTGGACACAGATTAGTTGAAGGATTCTTTTTCATATGCAAGTAACATATCTTGTTTCCTTACTTTGCACTTTGATTAGTATTTTTCACAAATTTTCATGAATTGTTACCGCAACAGTAGAGAAAAATATGCCATGTAATTTTGCAATGTAATAAACCAAATAAATAATTCATATTTAAAAGCTTATTATATATATATATATATATATATATATATTGCGTATTCGTTAGATCACACTATCGTGAACTATTCCCTAGAAATATAAAATGCCTACTCAATTAATAACTAATATTGAAAAATGAAATATGCAACATATTTTATTGAAAAAAGAGGCTATAAAGATAGCAGAAAATTTAACTGTTCAAAACCAATGATATTTATAATGATTATGATTTTAAACATTTGTACCAGAATTTAACTATAACTACAGTTTTCAAGAAGTAAAAACATTAACGGAAACTAATTGCCAAGCTAAGCAAACTTGTTCCAAAGTTATATTGTTGCATGACTAATACTTTATCAAAATTACAAGTAGTTAAAAAAATAATCTTTGCGTCCACTTATTGGAAGGTTTTATTTATTTGAAAATTAAAAGACTAAGTATCATACAGGTTTATACATGTAAAAATTTACGTTTCGAATTAATCTTTTCAGATGCTAAAAATCTTATTATGATTTAAAAAATTAAACTAACTATGGAACTGATTGACACATTTAAAAATTTCTATTACGTATGAGAAACATTTATTTTTAAGTGCTAATCTGCAAATTAATTTAAATTCCAAAATGCTTTCCGGTCTGTTTCTAATTAATTAAATATGATAACAGCATCTGTACTTGTCAAAATTATGCTGTAGCAGTACAGATAGCTTAACATTGTAAAATGTTGCAAATTATTTAAACTCTGTATTAGTGTCTTTCTGAGAGCTGATATAACAAAAGAAGAGAATTATGCTAATTGGTTGTGAACTAATTTGAGAATTCCAATGGATAATTTAAATAAACAATGGTATTTTCAGAAAACCTAAATAAATTACACATATTTAACTCTTCTGGATATTTAAAATGCTATCATGTAGCGATTAAAAAAATTAAGATTGTTTTAGCATACGAAAGTATTCAGTTATAAATTTTATGCTCACAAGTTCATATTCATAAATGAAATAATTATTTTACACATGCTAATTAGGATTTTTAATACCTAATAATTCATTGCGCTTTTACTTCTGATTAAAGTTTATTTTATCTTTCCACCATGATATTTTGTTATCTACACGCTGTGATGAAAGCAGATAAATTTATTTTGCTGTTATCTGTTTGGTTCAATTATTTTAAATTCTATTATTTAATGCAATTCAGCTTTTCTCGACATTAACATTACAGAACAGAGCATTTAATCTCAACATTTAAGTTACTTATTTAAATAATTTAAGAAGACAGCTTATTTCATGCGTATATAAATTGACAGTGAAATCTTAAACAAATTAGGGCCCTTAAGATTACTACGTACCGTCAAAACGCATGGTTTAATAATTCCTTGACATGCTAACGACATTTGCTTAATAAGATATGCATTTTCGAAGCTTCCTAAATTATTGCATAAATTATATATGGAAACAACTTGTGGCTCTTAGAAACTTGAGAGTTCATTTAATTCTTAGGCACAATCCCTTTGATATGCTGGATTAAATATCTTATTTCTGATATATCTACTTGATATAGCTGTAAATTTCGGTAAAAATAATTATTTTATATATTTGGTATAAAATAATAATTTGCAATAATCTGTAAACTATAATTATTGCGTTGAAACTGCCAAGCAATTGCAATATTTATGATTTTGTAAATTGCAAAGCGACAGTATGACATTTCAAAATTGCAGTGGTTGAGAATGGAACTATGCATATATTTTATATTGGAGTAACCTTATATTTATATGCTGAAAGAGCCCTTTAGTTATGGGCTTTTTATTGAATACTATAAATTAAATACGCATAAAAATACAGAAGCTACAAAAATGCTAAATTGTTACAAAAATTTGATTTTCTTAATTGAGAGAATGGGCTACATTCGTGATGGCCAGATTAGGTCGAGCTTTCAAATTGTAAGGTTTATTAATCAAATATTTTCATTTGAACCTTTACTACATATACTGTACATTACTGTATAACTTCTCTTTTCCGTAATCCTCACCGTAAGTAATTGTTGAGCATTTAAGCCTAGGCTTTGAATGTTTCAGAATTACAGCTTTTGAGAACTTTGCTCGCACGTTACGTGCTATCGCCGGTTCTGTCAAAATTATTCCGATATTAGCCATTTCGCTAGCTGACGTTTAACATGCTTCACTTCAATAATTCAGCCAGCTTCAGTAAACCATTCTGTGTAGCCTTCGACTACGTTACTTAACTTGGAAGTTGCGATTATGTTGTTTTAAGTATTCGGAAGTGGTGGAGATTTGTTTTGTATCACAAATGCTGTCTTCTTTAATTTTAAAGAGTTAACAAAAAGCTTATGTTCTTTAATTTTAAAGAGTTAACAAAAAGCTTTTTAATGTAAAGAGTTAACAAAAAGCTTTTTAATGTAAAGAGTTAACAAAAAGCTTATGTTAAGAACTTTTTATACCATAGCACATTTTTCACGTTAATTCAGACTAGAGCGATAACTAGTTTTTCAGTTTAGTAGGCTCTGAAAGGTATCTAGCTTTTATTCCGTTGAAGCTGCCAAGCAATTTTTAGTTAGAATTCTACAAAATTGGCTAACTATTCAGCAAACATGTATAATATGCTAGATTCTCCGAAATGGAATCGACAATAATTATTTATTCTATGTCAAAGAAAATAATTTTGCGCTTTTTAAGAATTTGACATTAGTGGATACAGTGGATCTGATATAGAATACAGAACAAAAGTTGCAAAATAACATTGCAAGTAAGATGAAAATTTTATAGCTAAACTGTTTCGCAAGTGTCTGCAAACAAAGAAAACTCTTCATATGCGAAACCAATAAGCATGAGACTACCTTGCCTATTAGAAGGCAAAAAGCGTACGAAACTTCGAAGTTACCACACAATAGTTATAACCCCCAGATAGATTTTTGTGTACCAGAAGAATGAGAATATTGGCATATACTGTTTGTAGTTCCTCTTTGGTACAATGTTAGCAATCACGGCTTATGATCTATACAGAAGAAAATGCCGTTTATATTCTTTTTCAGGCTGCATCTCATATAAAGACTGGTCAAGATATGAACGACTTTTAAGAAAAAGAATGGCATATAAAGAGAATGGTAAATGTACTACTGACAGTAATTTTTCTCTAATCGCCCTGCACAGAAAACAAACAAAAAAAAACCGTATAGGAGTTTCTCTATAGCATAAGGATCCAATCTATCTCTGGGAATCATTGGAAAGTTATAAATAAAAGCAAATCAAAGTGAAGAAATGCCGTTTGTTAAATTTTACATGACTAATACATTAGTGAAGTTTTTAATGGTTATATTCCTTTTTAACCGCAGTCTGATGTGGAATCAATAAAAGAGTGAAAATAGGCTGAAATGCTTACTATGTTGGATTTTCAAATTCCAGAAAGTTGGGAATTCAAGTACATTGATTTAAAACAAAGATGTAGATGCACATAATATTTCTTAACACAAACGAGTTGTTGACATATGTGTCTAGAAATTCTTTTTAAATTCAGAAGGTCGCTAATTATTTTTACTTGTGAAAATATATATTTCAGTTCTTGATTACTTTTTTCATTTACCTTTACTTGATTGATATCACTCACTTATCTTGTATTATACAACATTTTATTAGGCTTGCAGGGATATTTCAGTTTCTGAGTTTTACTAAGAAAATACCATATTCTGTGATTTGAAGCGTTATCAGTTGCTTAGAGAATAAACACCAAAGAAGAGATAAATACATGAACTAGCTTAACACTAAAACAATTTTTCCATCTCAAAAGGAAGGAAAGTTTCGTGTAAGATGTAATTTAGATACCTTATTAAAATTATTTTAGAAAATTCATTACACTCCTTTAGTTATCACTCTTATTTAAGGTATAAAGCTATTTAAAGCAAGTAAAATTAACTTTACTGCACAAGATATTTTATGTTTCATAATTATAATTAAAACTTCATTTCTACTTCAATAACTTAATGCTTCATTCCTAATGGATTAAACTAACAATAAAATCATATCGTTCAAAACTTAAAGGTAGTTCGTTCAAACTAAAGAATTTTTTTAACTAAACAAGTAAAATAAAAACTTTTTAATCTGTTATTTAATTGTTACTAATTAGGAATAAAAGATGTCAAAAAAGAATTGCTATTTCAGGCAACGCAATAATTGAGAATAATTATATTTAACTAACTGTATTTTTATTAACCTTGCTCAAATGGCGTTAATCTTTCGTATCAATGGCTGACTGATTTTAATAATTGCATATAACGTAAATTTTAAGTAATTCTTTATCATAATGAAATTGAAATGCTTTAAATAAAATTATGTGTCTACTACAACGGAAACAAAATAAAGCTCTAGAATGCAAGCAATGACATAAAAGTATGGTGAAAATTCTAAGTGTAGTCCAAAAGAACTCGAATGTAATAGGACTAGAAATGTATTTTGATTTCATTCACATAAGTATGAACTTCAATTACATTCCATGTTTAATTTTTTAAGTAAAATGCACTTTCCTTTCAAAAGTATTTTCGTGTTTTAAGAATTTCTGTATTTATAGAAGATTGGAAATTTCGTAGCAAGGAGTCTGGATGCTGAGTAATTAGTACCTTAAAAAAAGAATAGTACTAAAAGGAATTAGAATGTTTTACTGTTCTTTACTGTTTCAATAGGAAAGCTTGGCCATTAAGTAATGCACACACAACTAGTATTCTTGAACTGTCGATATCATCGCAGAATGTTTGATGGATCCATATAGAATTTCCTTTGAAAGGCACGTTGCACAATATTATTATATACATACTTATAAACATATTATAAAACAAAATTCGCTTGGTGCTGTAATTTTCCATTTTGGAAAGGGAATGCATATCTGCTACTTAATGTGTCACAAGGAAGTTTGTAATGCTAATTTAAAATTTTAAGACATTTTCTTTCGCTTCGTGAATGTCAAGAATGCGTTCGATCCATAATTCGGAAGTTATAGGACATCAGAACTCAACGAATCATTTGTAAGAATCCTCTGTAATGATTAAATTTCGGGTTTATTATAGATTTAAAATAAAAATCGAGCATATATTCTGCTGTTTGAATACGTAGATATGTGTTAAGATATTTAATAAGAAGAAAGATATAGAGATAAATACGGTACTGATGAAAGTGCATTCTAGGTGCTTATTTTATAGTGAGTACGCGTAAGTATTCATATATACGTACCTCATCATCATAGAAAGGCAAAGGAGAAGTATATTGAATTTAACTTGAGCTGAATATGTATATTACACTGACTAATAAAATGTTAAATTTTACCTCCGAGTACCAATTCCGCTGAAGCCTGAGCAGAGTCCTCAGCGTTTCTGACAAAACATTGATATACTCCCCTGTCCTCCCTTCCAACAGAGTTGATGTGGATTATGTCACGTGTAAGCATCCTCACTCTTCCGGAATTGTCAGCCAAAGTTCGCGTATCCTTCATCCACGTGACGGAATCTACGGGAAATCCGGATATGTTGCACTTCAGGGTGACCGGCTTCTCGGCATCCACAAGGATCCGTTTGGGGTGCAGGTGAGCCGATAATGGAGCTGTAATGAAAGCACGATTTTGAATCAGAGAGCGGTTCACTGAATCAACCACTTTGGCTCTGGAGATAGTCTTCTCCGAGTAATGAGATAGATTTGTTTACACAGCTGACTTTAATTACGAGTTTCTTGTCTAAAATTGCTGGGGTATAAGAGGGCAATTATCATCTAATTTGCGAGGAGGTGTTGAAGCGGATGGAGAGGGTAGAGGTGTGAATGTCATAAAGCTTCGTGGATTGCAGTTTCTGCGTGGTATAATGGACACAATGTGCGAGAGAATAGAAGTTCATTTGGATATGCAAGACTAATCCCAAGCGAAGTGAGTTTTGAATACGTTATCTCCGAGAACAGCATTATTATTTGTCGGTTGGTTATTTGAAAGAAGTACACTCATTTTCTTTACTGTTAAATTAAAATAAGAAACAATAACAATAAGGAGAATATATTTAAAAAATAAAATTAAATCGAAGTGAATAAATATGACACTAGAAATGTCTTTTTCTAATTACATTAATATTGTAAATATTCATAAAGCTATCATCAGTTAAATGTTTTAAATTATACCAATTAGGATATAAACTAAAATTAAAATAAAAGTTAAAAATTACGTTTATTGTTATTTAATTGCTTAGATTATTAAGCAGTTGTCAAAGATTAAATTTTAAATCTAAATTACAGATTTTACGGTTTGCCGAAGGCTAGAACTATAAGAAATGGTTATTTGAGTCGCGGTAAACAAATGTAATTTAAATTAAAGATAAACTACACAACATACCGGTCCAAAAATTTAATTTAAATAACAAATTTAATTTAAATTAAAGACGAGCTACACAACCTAACGGTCCAAACATTTCGGACTGTTAGGTTGTGTATTAGTCATTTTTAATTATTATTGTTTTTTAAAGAGATATTTTTTATTGCAGATCACCAGAAATATGTCTTTTTTGTGTTAATATCTTTCAAACACTAGACGAATTTTAATTTAAATTTTAATTAACTTAAAATAAACTTCAGTTATCTGTGTAAGGCATGGTTACTTAATGTGGCACTCCTGATTATAGTTGTTATTATCCGATTACTCATAATATATGAGGCTTTTTTTTTATCTTTTTAAACTTTTCTGGATAAGTTCTCAATAATTCTTCTCCTCTCTGTTCTCTCTTCGCCCAAGAAAAAAAATTAACTAATATTATTAACTAATTAAAAAAACTGTATAAGCGAAAAGTTTTAAAAATCAATACCAACAAGATTTTTTCAACCCTTTGCTTATTTATTGCTCTGTTTTATAAAGAATAAATACGTGGGTTACATGCATCTTTGCTTATATCGATGTCTGTCTTTCTGCTTTCAGCTAGTCTCCAAGTAGAACTATATCTATTTACCATAAGTTTTGAAGTTTTTAAATCAAACCTGCAAAATGTTTTAAACAGGTGCGAATGCAACTTTAAGGAAATGTAAACACAACTAACTTTGAGTTAACGCATGTAAACGCAACGCAAATAACTTAAGTAACTTTATTCATACTTCAGTTCAGTATATTTCATACTTCAGTATTTAGTAACTTTATCTCATACTTCAATATTTAGTAACTTTAGTCGAACGGAAGTAAGAAAAAGTTCTGACTTTTAGATATTCTTGATTTATACTGTTAAACTGTTCACCAGAAGGCAAACTATCACTGCCAGTGTTAACGATATCTCACAAAGATAAATTCGTAGTACTTCATAGACCCTTCTGGTTTGATAAAAAGAACAATATATCTATTACACAATAATCGAAACATTCACAATAATCCAAACAATAATTACACTATAATTCAAACAATAACATTATATTTATTACCCTGCAAGTTGTGATCCTAAATGCAAGCAAAGTACGATGAAATAAATTTTAGTTCGTTATTTTAAAGAACTGAAATTATTTGACCTCTATATAATGTAAATCTGCTTATAAAGAAAACTTGGTAGTTGATTTAAAATTTCCTAACAATTATCTTTATGCTCATTTCTTTCCTTTGAGTTTTGCTTCGTCACGTAGTCGCTCAATCTAGAATGTTTTAGGTCAGACGACGTAGTATAAAATTAAAAGGATGTTTAACCGATGATTCTGAATAGAATTTTGGCTATTGGTTCTGCTGCTTACCTACAGAGGCGCTCATCCAAACAAAAGTTGAACGCCTGAAGTTGATCACATTTGGAAAGTACTGAAAGTTATTTGTGTTATTCTATCACATACAGACAGTGTTGTAGCTTAGCATAAAGTTATGAAACTTAAAAACTAGCCGGTAGGTTTTTAGAGTAAGCAGAAAGTCGCTGTCAATGAGAAGTTAAATTAATTGTTTTATTTCAGTTGCTATCCCACCAGTCGTTGGCTCACCAGCGACCGAAGGGCAAAGTTGCTGAACACTGGTAGTTTCGACCTGGGTTAAATTCCAGACAAACGGGCTGGCACCCGTGGTTTTCTTTATGTGTAACGTATATACAAGCTGCTAGAGTGTCCTACACGAAGACACCCGTTTTCTTAGACAGGTAACCCTTGCTTTACTATAATTAAATAAACCAAGACGCCAGTCGTGAGGAATAAATTTTTATGTTGTAAGATTCCAACCTGACCTGAGTTACTGCTAACTGTGTGGAATTTAAGAACTGGTAAGCAAATAATCGCTTAGTTCAGAGAGATAGAAACGTAAACGTACGAAGGGTTAATTACCCTTTATTATCAAAATAAATTTAACAGTCGACTCCTTCTTGGAATTTACCACATAGCTTTCACTTGGGCTTGAACTCAGGAATACTAAATAGTAAAACTTAACTAAAAATATGTAGCCGAATATTGTAACAGAGTTGGCCCCTTAACGTTAACTAACGCCAAGGCTATCAAGGGCCTAAAGTACGGCGATTACAAATTAAAGGCGATTGCACACCAACTGAGTAATATCTACAAGTAGCCATTAGATGTAAGCAAGTAATTGAGATTTTAAGCTGTTTTTTATAATCTCACAGTCAGACTTCATAATAAGTGGATTAGATTTTATGAGAAAAGGAAGCTTTTGTAAGGATAATAGATGGTAAACACTTTGACAACAAATTTAATTAATTTGAAAATATTTTTTAAGAAAGTTTTAATGCATTATATAATTTTAAATTACCTGTTACTGTTAGCAAACTCTCCATTCGTTTTTCTCCAGCGCTGTTGTTTACAACGCAGACATATGTTCCAGAATCTCTTACGTTAACTTGCTGGAAATATAATGATCCACTCAGAAGTATAACTCCCGGCCTAGCACTGACAGGAACTAATCGAACTCCATCTTTCTTGTACCACCTGGGGAAAAAAGAAAAGTCTAAAACTTCTGTTAAACATTTACATGATGTCTGCAAACATTCCAAGCAAACAGACTGAGCAATACTTATTTCATAAGTAGTGCTATGAATAATATTATTGAAGATATAGTTTTCCATTATATTCTGAGAAAAGATAAATAACACACGTTTCACAATTCACGCTAATGATCAACTATTGCATCATTAGATCATAAAAGTTTTCAAATGGATTTGAGATTATTTCTCTAAGATATAAAGTATTATGTTTGCATAACTGCATAATCAATCAAATGTTTCAGAAGTCGACCATTGTTAAAATTTGAAACATATATTGCGAAACTTTCTCATACCATACGTTTGATTTTCAGTAGAATCTGTCTAGAAAAAGGTCTAATATAGATACATACTGCAAACAAATAATGGCTTTTAAAGTAATGAGATATAAGTTAATTACTTTATATATTTATTGAGCTTGCCTTCAGATAAAAGAATATAAATATAAATCTTTTCGGTTAATGTTGCAATTACTTATACGTGAAAAGAAATGCCATTTCCAGAGGATGATTTAGAAAGAATAAAATGTAACAGCATGTATAATTACCAGTTTATATCTGCTTGTAATAGGCTTATAAACATTCACTTCTTCGTTAGAATGTTCAGGTTTTAGCTACTTGTTTATTTGTACTTTACAAGAAACCAACGTATTATTTATTTTACTTACACAGAAATTGCGTTACAGAGAAATTGTAGTTACATATAAATTGAGTTGTTAATTTTTTATAGGGAATTTATATTAATAGAAGGATACTTTGCACAATACTTATAATTCATCGAAGTATTTTGCAAATCTGTAAAATTAATTCTTTTAGCAGGATATTACAGTTAGGAGCAAAATTACTAATTCAGATCATAAGGTTGAGAATTAATGTACACGAAAATAGTAATTCCGAAAATATTTTTGTACGGCAATTTTGTTAAGCGAATTGCTTAGCTATTATCTCAGTTTGCTCTGCACTTTTATTCAGTGAACTGCACTCGCAATTTTATTGAAACTGGGCAATTTTATTAAGAGAATTTCACAGCTTTTATTGAAATCAACATTATGGAAATGAGACTAAATCACACACCGTTAATTCCTTTAGATATTAGAAAATGTTTCTGGATCTAAAGTTTTTTTTTCACCTTATTCATTTATTGTCAGAAGTCTATATTGTTGTGTAGCAAATTAACGTAATTAATCTAAATGTAGTTACCAAAATTTAATGTATTAATTATTTTAAATTTTATGCTACACAACATGTGTTTGTTCAATTAATTATTGGTATTGTTTGGTCAATTATTTATCTGAACTTGCACACAAGTTTTTAGCTAGCGTCATTCATTCTTGCTTGCATTCGCGATTACTCACACAATGGATCTTGAGTAAATTTTCACGTAATAAACTAGGATTCTCATGACTTAAATTAAGGTAAACCCTTAGAATTTAATATCAATAGATGCAGAAAAATTAGCACTTTAATTTGAGACTACTTTCATAATTCTACTTTTAACCAATTTTAAGTTATAACCATTTATTTAACGAAAAACTTGCAAAGCCCATTGTTTGGCTTAAGAGGGGAAGGAATTCACTTTCAACGAAAAAATGTGTGTCTGAACTTGAAACAAGTCTTCTTGAGGATACGGGTATGGTTGCCACATTTTGCCTTGCTTGGCGCGTATTTGGCGAGAATTGAGTTTCGCCTTTAGTTCAGCGTTGTGGAAAAAGTAGAAATTTTGCATGGCTTAAAGCGGGAGTTTTCGACAACTGGGTTTTTTTCACCTTTTCGGGCGGTGGTTTAGCAAGGTGCCTAAAAGGGGTTGTTTTCGCGGGGCTCAAATGATTGCCATTGCTTATCATTGCTTATCATTCTTTCAAATTCGCAGATGTTATTACATCTGCTATCTACGACTTCAAACAAAAAGTCTTTTTTCCTAAAGTGATAACAAGACATGTGGCATATATAGGTAAAATCCCACTAGGGATGAGTACCTAATACAGGTCTTTGGCTCTGGCTCTGGAATCCATCCTTCTTGCCCCTGACTCCTTGCGGCACTTACACTTTTGGAAAAGTTGCTTTGCTTGACCTCTGTTCACCGGAGGCTTACTATATGGATGCCGGCCGTTTGCTGGGTTTTCATGGCTTAGGCCCGAAAACTTTATTGCGTCTTCCAATGGCGGTAATTTCTCAAAATAAATGCTACAGAGCTTCCTAAGCTTTAAGTATGCATCCACTCATAGTTATCGGTTAAGCTCCAATCCACTATGTCTCCGAAATTAATCTACTGAACCGGAATGTTTTTGGCTCAATATGTTTTTCAACTTTAAACTGCGTTATCAGACATCGAGGCTCTTCTTTATCTAGCTATGTTATGTCTCTTCTAACATTTCTCCTACCCATGATCTCCAAGGAAAGATCCCAGCTGGTTGCGTGATCTGCTCTCACGAGGGCTTCATCGTTCATCGAATTTTGGCTGCTCCTGTTGTATCCCGTGATTCGGAAGTGAATGTCGGATATTCCCGTAAATTCTAATGCTGATGTGACCCGAGAGATTTCTCCAGCCTTTGATTGTTCCTGCTTTAAGGCCATAGAATTATTCCTGCTTAAAGACAATAGAACAGGTCCTGCTAAACGACATTAGTAATTGACCTTCCGAAGACCTTTTGGACTGTTCATGTTGTTTTCTAGAATTCCCGTGCGCTATGGCTGATGAGGGAGCTCCTGACTATGGACGGATCGTGGAAGATAAGTCTTCTTTCCTTTAAATTCATTTTCAAATTAATTTGATTAGCTAAGAACTTGGTTGAGGGAAAAATAATTATCCTTGCTTTAAAATTTTTTTAAGGACAAGCGGAGTAGTAACTTGAACCTATTGGAAAATAAAAGGGAGTTCTTAAATATATTGTTAAAGTTAATTGATTTTTGTTAAAGTTAATTTAATTTTGTTAAGGTTGTTCTTTCTTTTGGTTAACTAATTTTATATTGCAATATAGTTGAAATTACATTTGTTATGCCATAACGTTATCAAGTAACCTTTGTTAAAACAAAATCTATGTAATTTACGAATAGAGTATAATTGATATGAAAACGAAAACTGAAAAGGAGTGCAATATCAAATTTTTTATTATATCATATGTTGTTTTTTTTTCTTTTTTTTTTAAAGTAAAGTAAATATAATTTTTTTATTAATATTTTTTATCCCTTTGAAAAACAGTTCTGTCTGGTTTTGGTATCTACCATTCATATTTGATGCTATATTATTAGGCTCAATAAACTTATATATTTTCTTTGGATTAATTAATAGTATGTTTTATTTGATCTGTTCATGTCACTCACCAGTACACCCTAAATTTGAATTAGGAGTTGTTTGGTCAAATTTACACAACGCAATGACTGTTTTAAATTTGAATTAGGTTTGTCAGTTAAATTTAAATTCTTGCCTTTCAGTGTCTTTCTTAAAAAAGGCACGAAACAATATCAAGAGTTCTTAAAGGTTTCAGCAAAAATGATAACTTTCGCGCTGAATGCAGAAAATAAAAACGGAAAGCAAGCTATCCTTTAACATTAAAGTCTATTATTTTTTAAAAGTTATAGTTGATTATTGCTTTGGTTTAGAGAATTTATCTCATTTAATTTTTCCATCGTATTACATAGATTTCAAACTGAATTAACAAACTGTTTCTTATTTAGTAAAGAGTAAATTATGCTTAATATTTATATTATCATAAGTATTTTTATTAATATATTTATAACGCAAAATTAATTTTCAATAATATATTAAATCTTCAATTCTACAGATTTGAATTTTCAATTAGTTTCAGAAAACGGTAGTATCCTTTTATTTACATGAAAAACTGAGCCTTCATATATTACTTTAGAAATGCTTGTTAAGTAAGAATTTTAAAAATTGCGTTTGTTGCATCGTACTTTTCAAAACATGATAATTAACATGATTAATATTGTACCTGTCAATGCATCTGATATCAAAGCAATGAATAAATAAATAAATATAACAAAAATTTTCTGAATTTGCTTTGGTAATGAAATGCTTTTATAGCTTCGCCTTTACAGAGAAGATTAGTCACAGATGATACTCGTGATTTCTCATAACCCCTTCTTCTCAAAATATTGTCTTTAAAAGAGTATAGAAACATTTTAATTTAGATTCTGAAAACTCACAGTATTGTACGTGTAAAGAATGGCAATTTGAACAGAAACATTGCCCAAATCAGGTATATTTTGTATATCTAATACATTAAAGGAACAGGAAAAGGACTTAAAAAATGACATAAAGAGACCTCGATTTTATTGCAAGACAACAGGTATAGGCCGTATGATTCCAAATACAAAACTAGAATCGTAATGAACCTTGCTTAATATTGCTTCCTTAATATAATGAATACAAAAAGCTATTTAAAGGTATATATATATATTATAAATCAGAAATATAAAAATAAAATAAATTCCATTAAATTCTCGCTAATCGTTGCCACACGTTAAATAAATAAGGAGAAACAAACAAACACTGGAGTCGAATGAAGTCCAAATAAAACAGAGAGGGGAAATGATAAAGAAAATGTTGATTTTGATACGTTATTGGCTGTCGAAACTTCTACGTAGGATGTTTCAAAACTAAGGGAGCAAACATTTCGGGATAATATAATTCCTCGAAACAAGCAATTTTTATTTTAGAATGTATCGGTATATGCTAACTGGCATGGTGCTGGAGGGTGCTTTCTTTTTTTCTCCACATGTGTTGCCTTTCACAACTCAAAAATATACGTGGTTTTCAGGCGCGCTTGTAAAAGCGGAGGAGTTTGCTTATACTGATATAATTTTTTATAATCATTTTAATTTTGTATTTTTTCTATGATCTGGCAGGTTCGGGCCTGGTGGTGTTCATTAGTTTATGAATTTTACATATGATGTTTTTAATCCATAGTGCAATCGGAGTTCTCTCAAA